GTATAAATAGTGTTTTCTTATTCATATAGGTAGGTATATAGGATTTCATGTAATACAGAATGCAACATAGTATACTTTAAAATAACTATGGTGTTCTAACAATATATTTTGTCATTAAAATAAAGCAATACTAAGATTTTATAACTAAAGTAAATGCCACTAGAGCCTTCTTAAATGTACAGTGTGCATAACAATATAACTTTAATTTAAAGATAGCCTCTTAACAAATTCAAAGTTATTAAACAAAGGCACAATAAAATAATTCGAAATTCGACGTTGAATGTTATTTTAAACTTTAAAATAAATTGTTGTTGTTTAAACCTTATTTTGAATTATGATACCCCTCAAAAAAGTGTGATGCAACGGTAATGGTTTTTATTTACTTACCTATGAAACGTTATCGAACTGGACTTGAGATACTTTCTCGAGCACACAATACAATTCACTGTCATTTTTAAGCAATTAAATGCACTAAAATAACTTAAACCACAAAAATTTTTCAATTAAAGTACGAAATAAACTCAAAATGAACCACAAAATAACCATAAAATAACTAACCTAACTGACGTAGTCCTGTCAATTTTTTGCTGACCAATCAGGTGTGTAACCAAAATAGCGAATATCCAATCAAGTCGTGTAACCACTGCTATTAGTGAGAGGAGATGCTGGTTACAAATATTGCATGATAGGGCTGTATCTATTATTTATTTATTTATCTGAGGTTCCACGTGAATGATCAAGGTCAAAACCGACAACTGACATTTTTTATGCTATTTGCTCCAAACTCTAGATGGGGCTACTGGTGAAATTATGATTTCTTACTCCATTTTTAAGCCTTATGGGAGAAAAACTTAACCAAAGATGTGACGTGTATTTATTTATGTTCTTGGTTAGTTTCATTTTTCCGTCTGATTTTAGTGATTTTTTGTTGGCTTTGGCTTTTGGTTTCTGTTTATAGTTTCGTCTTAGTTATTTGCAAAATTGTGATGTTTCGCTTTTTTATTTCCTACTGTGTTTTGCAATAATTTTGGTGCTATGTTGAAAACTTCGAGAAAAACTTCATTGATTCACCATATATTCACCATGCATCTGCATCATAAAAAGACAAACGGGGACAACAACTAATTGATAATCAATTTATCACTGGACTAGATTCTGAAATCATTTTTCACATAAGAGAGTAATACCACCATCTGTATTTGGAAGGAAAATACCTATTTATCATTGAATGAATAGTTAAAAGGATTCACCTTTTAATACAATACCTATATTACATTTGTCCTCAGTTAAAAAGACATTATAAAATATATAACTTTAGTGTTAATAAAATGTAATATCCTAGTCTCTACTTCACATTTAAATTATTGATAGGTATTTTAAAGATTATTTGCTCCAAGTAAGTATTCGTTAAATATGTATTATTATTATTATTTGTATTTATTTTTATCTAATAATATTTATTTAAGTTATTAATAAACATATTTTAAGAATGTTCAATTTTATTATTTATTGATATATCTTATATTTATTTAATAAAAATATGCAGAACCAACTCTCCACATTAGACCCCTCATAACAAATTAATTCTTCAAATTTGGTATAATCGACCTACATTATTTTGTAAAATAAAAGTTTCGAACTTACCAGTTCCATACTTTATTTTATAAAATAATTTATGTGGAAATCATTTAAAATTTAATTTAAAACTACTACCTACTCCTAAAAATTACAATTTGAATTTACCGCCATCTGTCAATTGTCATTTTAGTTCCAGCTCCAAACACAAGGTGGCGCTAATTTGGTTTAAAAGTCTAACATTGACGTGGGGTCTCTAGAAGATACATGCTTTGTGGTTTACATAGTTCAAAATACATGGCTTCTTATGGGAATTATTGGAATTATACATAATTTTGTCAAAATAATAAAAATAAACTTGTTTATAGCTAAATAAAGCACAGAACATACTGTTGTATTTATTTCTAAATAAGTCTTACATATTTTAATTGATATACATTAGGTCTTTTCCTTTGCATCGAAAGTGTAGCATTGAGCTACGTTATTTCTGAAAATATTGTTCCATCCATACAATTTGTATAAATGGAACGATATTTTCAGAAGTGGTGTAGCTCGGTCCTACACTTATTTCGATGCAAAGGAAAAGACCTAATAGGTCTTTTCCTTTGCATCGAAAGTGTAGCACTGGACTACACCAATTCTGAAAATATCGTTCCATATATACAAATTGTATGGATGGAACGATATTTTCAGAAGTGACGCAGCTCAGTGCTACACTTTCGATGCAAAGGAAAAGACCTATTATTTACTATTTATTTGTATTTAAGTAAAATGCAAATTATTGATGATGTGTTGAAATTTGATGAGTAGGGCTAATTATTTTTTAATTAAAGCTAAATAAGGCGGAGGGCATACTAAGACACGGTTTAAATGAAAATATTTAGTCAGGGATTTTATAAAATTTTATGAAAATAATAAAAATCAAATTGTTTATTGCTAACTAAAGCACAGAAAATACTGTTGATTTTAATTATTGTAAATAAGTCTATGTTTTTTAATTGCTAACTAAAGTACAGAAAATACTGTTGGTATTAATTATAAATGAGTCTTTATGTTAAACATTATTTACTATTCATTATTTAGTTTTATCTAAATAAAATGAAAATTAGGTATGACCAAATTTGAAAAGGTCTGTTAAATGGTGAAATTTGGTAAGAACAGTTTTGTGGTAATTTTGTATTTGACAACTACAATTTCATCATCCTGATGAATAGTTTCTTCAGCAATAGGTTCTAGTATTTTCTTCCTTTTTTTATTCTAACAAATTCAGTTCGGTTCAATGTTGGTTTCGTCTTTTCCTAATACTGGACAAGTATGAAGCGAGATTCGGGAATATACATGGTATTGCTTCGTTCTTTAATCTCGGCCTTTCCCTTTTTATTTTGTTAAGGACCGATTCCACCATTGTGTTAAACGGATATTAAAATGACATTGTTAATGTAAAAATGTCATTTTAAACTCCGTTTAACACAACGGTGGAATCGGTCCTAACAGTACTATTAGTTAAAACAGTCTTATCAAATGTTAAAATATCATCTTCTAAAAAGTGTAGCTCGCAAACAGAATCATAACTAGACAGTACTTTATCAGCCCTAGGAATCACATGCTGCCATTGTTCTAAACGTTTAGGATCCTATAAAAAATATTTGCAATGACTAAATTGGAGTTCAATAAAGAAACATATCAGTAGTAACTCTTCATCTAACATCAAAAAACATAAAAGCAAATTTTCTTTTCTAGTAAGTTATTTTTTATTATAGAATTTTGTAATTAAATAAACTACACTCCGTAAGATACGGGTTGTCACTATTTTACAATAAATATATATTATTTAGAAATAAATACATTATTTTACTTACACTAGGAGCTTTAAAAAGACTTGGATTTTTATCTCCTTGTATTTTCTTTAATTTTATATCGGATTTATATCCCGTTTTTCAACCCGCAACGAAGCAAATCCTGCTTTGCCGTTATTTGTTACTCATTGTTACTTATAGTCAGGTTCGTTATTTCAGCTTATTTTTATTTTTTTTCACTAAATTTTACAAAAAATCAATTTAATTCCCATTGACTTGCATAGAAAATAGACGTCGTTATTTTGCCACCCGCCAATTACAGTAGTTTTTTGGAACTCCTTAAAAATAGGGACGGAAATTTGAAATTTGACCAAGGCCGATTCGCCAACTTATCTCTAGTCTTCATATAAAAAAATCACTTAAAAATTATTTTTGATTAATAACGCAGCTGAAACAAATGTCCAAATAATAATAATAAATAATTAAAATAGCGCGTTATTAATAAAAAATATTATAATTTGTCATAGTACGCCCGTGGGAAACGTGACGTAGAATGCTCGAAATTGACAAGTCAGGGGTAGTATTCTCGAGTCACGAATATAGATTCGCATGCGAGATTTATGATTTGTCTCACTTGGTTTTCGTTCAACAAAGTGAGACACATTGTAAAACACGTATGCGAATATCGGTATTCGTGATTCGAGAATACTACCCCAGGGGTAGTATTCTCGAGTCACGAATATAGATTCGCATGCGAGATTTATGATTTGTCTCACTTGGTTTTCGTTCAACAAAGTGAGACACATTGTAAAACACGTATGCGAATGTCGGTATTCGTAATTAGAGAATACTACCCCTGGCGTCCAAATTGTCATTCGCACCGACCTTTTTTTCACCCATGTTGGCTTAAAAATTAGGAGTAGGGTTTATGTCATATATGACCGATTCCACCGTTGTGTTAAAAATGTCATTTTAATCTCCGTTTAACACAATGGTGGAATCGGTCCATAGCACTGATCTGTATTATTTTACTGGATAGGATATAGGCTATATTTAACATACTAAAAAACCGTTCCACCAAGGAGACCGGAAGTGCAACAATGCTGGCCGATTTGGGCAAATTATGGTGGGTTCACAGAACTGAAATTTGGGATAATTTGACATACCTAACCTATAATTTGATTAGTTTTTCTTCTTATTCTTCTTCTATTCCTTTTGCGGGCGATGTCCTTTGGGAAAATTCACCCATGATTTGATTGTTTATGAAAGAAAATATAAAAATGGAAACGTGAAGCATATTGTGTCTTCAGGAATGAACGTTTATTGTTTATTTCATACTCTTTTTACTTTGTTTTCCACAATAAAAACATCTCATCGTAGCTATAGCTTGTTGACACAATTAAATGACAAATGTGATGACAAATGGAAATAGAGGTTACGTTAAATAACATCCGGTCCGCCATATTATTTGCCCAAATTGGCCAATTTTTCGGAACGTTTTTTAGGGGGCTATATCCTATCCAGTAAAATAATACAGATCAGTGGTCCAGTTCTGTCGTGGTCCATAGCCAGCCATATCACGGTCGGTGGAATTTTTAAGATAAGTGGAAGGAAAAATCTTACTTCAAGGTTGGCAACACCGATACCACCGGTCATCGCAGTCACCGGTCTCAAGTTGACAGTTGACAACCCGACACGTTCACGTTCCATGTTCCATGGTTCTTGTTACGTAAATAGTCAAATAAAATTACATTTTAGGCTTAGTTTCTAAAAAATACATTAAAAATTATTAATATTAAGTTTAAAGTTTTTAATTTTCTACCAATTTTAAACAAAGTGTAAATAATCTAACCTGTGATTTTTTTACTTTAACCTTCTGTACAACATGGCTGCCACAGTAGGGCGAATTTGTGGAGTAGGTCTTTTAAAACCGAGTAATTTGACGACAATTAGCCAGGTATAGTTTAAAATTAATGCTAAGGGTTTAATTATCTAGGTTTTCAATTAAAGTTTTCATAATATTTGCTTTACTTCATTGTAATCGGCTGTAAAACAGGTGTTATGTCATCTGGAATCTCAAGTTTCTAATCATTTAATCTTTTTCAGAAAAGTTCATATTCCACGGCCAAAGACTGGACATGGGGCAAAAAAGCGGTGAGTAGTATTCATATTTCCTTTTCTAGCTTTTTCTTTTTAAATGTAGGTACCTACTATTTTTTGAGGTTATCTAAGCTAAAAATCATTTAATAGTAAAGCAGTATCAATTGGATATAGGAATACAATTTTTTGTATTAGTGTGAAAAATGTATTACCTTCTTATAATAATATCAATATTTTCTGTTTTTCTAATAGTTTGGGAATCTTACATCATTTTTTAACTTTTCATAGGTATAATGACATTTGTATTTAAAAATAAACAAGTGCGAAAATGCCTACTCAGTTTTTTTATAAAAAAGTACTGGATGTTTATAAAATAAGTTTATAATTTAGTTGTTAATGTAAAGAATTTAATCTTTGAATTATTTTTAGCTTTTAGGGAGCTTAGGTTTGGTGGCAGGTGGTACAGGAGCCATACTATTTGCTCTCGACCAATCTGTTAAGGCTTCGGATCTAGAATTACATCCACCAAAGAATATTTGGAGTCATACAGGGCTTTTCAGCGCCTTTGATCATGCCAGGTAAAACAACAGATAATAAATAAGTATGTGACAAATGGTCAAAGGAATTTCAAACATATTTAAATAAAATTATGCCTAATTGCTCAAAATGTCATTTAAGTAAAGTGGGAAAGGTATGTATCATCTCACTTGTAAGTTCTTCTGATTATTCAATGCAACTTTTCCAGATTGTTGGTAATATAACATTGAATATTATCGCATTAGTACAATAAATAATTAGAAAAAATGTACTGTTCACTGAAGGTATTCCATTCCACACCATAATTCTCCTTTCAGTAGCTTGGAGGAACATTCTAATACTGTAGAGGCAGCTAAATAAATAAAAAATTAATTGGAAAAATGATTGACAAATAATATAAATAAAAACTAATAATCATTGACTCAATAAAGAATGAATATTGTTTATGTATAATGACTTGACATTCATAAATGCCGCCCTCCACCGTTTATTTGGTTAATATCAACCATCTGAAATAATGATTCAACTTCATTATTAATAACAGGCACAATACCACAAATCCAATTAAAAACAACAACGCAAAATGAACAAGAGGTGCATATTTAGTGATGAAATTGCAACTATTTTTAAATATTACAACAATGCACTTAAATATTTGAATGTTTACATAGGGGGCCACATGTGTATCATTATGCATGTTAGTTCATACCACGTTAGTACATACCTTCCCTACAACTGTATTGTCATTTTTATACAGGGTATTTCATTAAAAATAGGCCGAATTGTTGGCCAAAAAATTAATATTTAAGTAAAACACCACAAAATAAGCTTCCATACAGAGATACATTTATGTGATATATTTGCAGTAAATGTGCAAATATCTTTCAATTTTTTATTTTTATCTAAAACAAATTAAGATGGGTATTCCAAAGTCGAAATATATAGGTAAGTTATTGTGTTAAAAAATAATACACGATCTTCTATTAAAAAAAAGTCAAAATGGTTTTAAAATGTCTGTAATTGAAGTTCATTTTGACCATCTTGTATGAAACAAAAATTTCAAATTTGATAAAAAAGAAAATAATGGTAGGTACCCACTAGAAATCTATATTGAGGTTAAAAATTTTTTGAATCAATGTGGAAAAAATTATTTTCCAAGAAAATTCAATATACAACAGAAAAATATATATTGGTGATGTACAATAATCTATAATAGTTCTAAAAATAAAAGAAAATCTATTAAATTTCTCTAAAACAATGTTGAATAGTCTAATTTATTATAAGACCACTTTGTTCCACTCTGTATAAGTACATGAACATATTTTTCAGATATTTTCTTTTGATTATCACTGGTAAATCTTTGGACAAAAATTAAGATTTTTTAAATAGGAGTTAAAAAGTTCTACTTTTTTTGAACATTGTGTGCAGCAGAATTTATCAAAAATTATATATTCAAATAGTGAGTTTTCAAATCAATCAACAACTTATATGGAAATATAAAAATACAGAAATGTAATTATTTGTATTAGGTTATTCATATTTAATGCAAAACTGGCTGTATGGCTAAGGTCCTAACTTTATTTTTTAGTACTGTAGGATACATGATTGACTTTTTTATTTGAAATTGGGCAATATTTTGTTTGTTTGTATTTTCACAAATACTATTAACATTGTCTCTAAATTAGTCAATAATAAGTAACATACAGGGTGTCCCAAAATTCTGTGTACATAGATCTACTGTATGTTGGTGAGATCAAATTGAGTCGATTGAGCCAAAATTACCTACATCATAAAGTCCATCGTTTGCCTGTGAGGAAGCTTCAAAGTTGGAAGAAAATCTTCAATTTTTTTTAATAACACAAAAACGCTTCGTTCGATTTTTATAAAATTTGGTGTGTAGCTATTTTAATTGAAGAGCCATTGTTCAAAGCAAAAATTACACCAACTGAAATTATGGAAGGGTAAAAACCAACCTAATCCTACCATAAATGACATCGTATTTTTTTTTCAGGGCCGCCCCTGTTCCCTAAATTTTTTTGTGGAGAGCTGTATTTATTTGTAGCATTTTTTCTTTCTTGCAAAAAACATGTATCTCTTATGGTATTTGAGTAAAAAAGAATTTATGGACTGAGGGTTAGTCACTTAAAATTTTCAAGAAAACTAAGTTGGCGGTTGTCAACGTTACAATAAACAATTTGATAATTTTGACAGATATGTATGTTGTAGAACTGTAAAAATTATCGATACTACTCATTTTATGCATGTATTGTATTTTTTCTGTTTCGATTTAAAGTTTTTGTGAAGGAGTTATTTCAAACATTTTGTGGTTGGTATGGAGTACACATTCAATGAACAAACTGATGTGTTGCTAGTGCTTGGTTTCTGTAATGGCAATTGCCGTGAGAGTGTTCGGGTATACCATGAAAGATTTCCAAATCAACAGATTCCGAATCACCAGACTTTTACTTTTATCGAGAGGCGACTTCGAGAAATTGGTCAACTGAAACCGAACAGAAATAATGCTGGAAGACCTCGTCATGTTAGAACTCCTGCTGCAGAGGAGGGAATACTTGAAATAGTTGAAAATAATCCCGGAATTAGTACCCGACCACTGGCACGCAAAACTAGGATTTCAAAAAGCACATCCAACAGAATAATTAGAGAACAACTTATGTATCCCTTTCACATTCAAAGTGTCCAGGAACTCCTACCTTCTTATTATGAGTCTCGTTTGCATTTTGTACAAGTTATTCAAGAGCACAGAGCGGCCGATCCAGTTTTTCACTGAAAAATTTTGTTTACAGACGAGTCATTCTTTACACGACGTGGTATAACAAATTCACATAACGAACATGTTTACGCAGATGAAAATCCACATGCCATTAAAGAGAAACACAACGAAAGTTTAAAATTAATGTGTGGGTGGGTTTTATTGACACCTACTTGATTGGTCCATTTAAATTACCAGATCGTCTTAACGGTGACAGTTACTAGCATTTTCTACGTCAAGATTTGCCTCAACTGTTAGAAGATTTACCGCTCAATTTACGTCGTGACATGTTTTTTATGCATGATGGTGCACCACCTCATTTTTCCCGCATTGTGAGAGATTATTTAAATGAACAATACCATGGAAGATGGTCGGGATGCTCCTATTCAGTGGCCACCTCGATCACTGGACTGTAATCCTTGTGATTATTTTATCTGGGGTCACTTGAAAACCAAAGTTTATGAAGTTCCTATCGACATATTGAACAATTATGGGGTAGGATTCAAACTGCTGTGAACTCTATGCGAAATGATCTAGGCATTTTGAGAAGGGTACACTTCAATTTCTTGCGCCGAATTGAAATCTGCATGAACGAAGGAGGTGGCCATATTCTTTTCGAATTGTTATTTTTCAATAGATACCTATGCCTATTAATGATTGTTTTATTGTAATAACGTTAAAATCGTGTTCGGGTTGCAGGAGTAACCGCCAACTTAGTTTTCTTTAAAATTTTAAGTGACTAACCATCAGCCCATAAAATTTTTTTTACTCAAATACCATGACATACATGTTTTTTTTGCAAGAGAGAACAAATGCTACAAATGAAAACAGCTCTCCACAAAAAAATTTAGGGAACAGGGGCGGCCCTGAAAAAAAAAATACGATGTCATTTATAGTAGGATTAGGTTGGTTTTTACCCTTCCATAATTTCAGTTGGTGTAATTTATGCTTTGAACAATGGCTCTTCAATTAAAATAGCTACACACCAAATTTTATAAAAATCGAACGAAGCGTTTTTGTGTTATTAAAAAAAATTGAAAATTTTCTTCCAACTTTGAAGCTTCCTCACAGGCAAACGATGGACTTTGTGATATAGGTAATTTTGGCTCAATCGACTTATTTTAATCTCACCAACATACAGTAGATCTATGTACACGGAATTTTGGGACACCCTGTATATTGAGAGGTCAGTCTATGGGACACCATGTCACAGTTGTTAAAATGGTAGATTTGTTTTCATTTTGAAAACATGTGTTTTTACAGTCATCAAAAGTAAATGTAAAATTAATAAAAAAATTTAGAAATAAACTAAAATACATACAACTTAATTAAATTAATCCTGAAAGAACTCCTCAGGTGTGTAGTATGATACTTTATACTTCACCTGAATATTGCCTGATTAGAAATACTTCTTACCAAGTGGTTAAACATTTTTACAGTATGGATTTTTTTATTAAGTTTGGATAGGGAGTGGGATACAATACATTCGTTGGTATTACTGACATTGCAGAAATTTCACTCCAATATTTCTTAAACAGCAAACAATATTTCTAAAATATGGATACAAACCAAAGTTAGGATATTATGTGTAGGAACAAAGCCTTACATCAGCAGTTTTCCACACTAGTTTTAGTTTTAAACTCTTCGGATCCCCCATGCTATCACCGAAATCTGTATCTAGCCTGGCGGCACTACAGCCTGCAGCTTATTTTACCACCATTTGAAGGACCTACTACTTGCCCATTCACCAATTCACTCATCCACGATGTGACCAGATATATGATAGCTTAACTGTGGCGAGAATGTGGATGCATACTAATCTCATGGCTAGACTCCACACTTACTTTACATGTAAATCTGGCAGCTCTTCTATAGGACAAATATTCTATTTCAAATGCTTACTGAGAGCATGAACCCAAAAAACATATTCCACATATCTTAAATGGGATTTAATGACGGAGAAATAAAATTTTTGGTAGTTTTTGAAATTTAAGATTATGTGCAAGATCTTACTGCAAATTAATAATATGATTTTGGAATCTTAAAGACTGATCTATGTAAACGCTTATGAATTCATTAATATTTAAAAATGATTTAAGTTTTTTGGAAAAAAATTATTGATAATACCAACTTTTCCAATTCTTTCGATAGGGTTAACCATACTCTCTGACTTCAAACGCTTAACAATGATCCTGGTGGGGAATTACTGCAATGAATTGGTAGTTATAAAACTAATAACTATAGAACTCAGATGGTTAGAGTCAAAGAGTTAAATTGAGCGTTTATTGTAAATAACTTCATGGAACAATTTCTGAACATCTCCTCCTTGGAAACTAGGCAAAAACGCATTGAACTTACTTTGTTATTTATGGTAGATGCAATTGTCCTGAACTTCTTGCAAAAATAGATCTTGTCCAAACTCACTCAACTAGGCAACTGCAAACATTTTATGTACCTTTTTTACAGATGAAATCAAACAACTATATTACAAGAATATTTAGATTAGCTAACTTACACAATTATCGTAGGCTGTTTAACATTCCCTTTTCATCAATCAAAACTTGATTACGTAATACTGATTTTTAATATTACAGAAGGGTGCATGGTTTCATAAATATTAACATCCTATTCTAAGTAATTTTACTTTGGCGTATGAACCAATTATGCAAAATTATAATTTTAGAAAGGCATGTGCTCATACGCCCTGAAAAAGTTACCTGTTGGTTTCATTAAATTTACTGAATCACAGTATTGTCGTGTTATCTGCACAGAACCGTGTGGCCCGCTCCTAAATCCATATCTTTCTAATTTATTTAATAGTATTCCGTAATTTACGCAATTGAAAGATTTAGATAAATCATAGAATACAGCTGCCGCTACACATTTCTCAATTATCTCGAGATATCATTTTTCAAAAAATACAAATACTACATCTGTACTACAACTTCGTTAATAAATATTTTGCATTTATTTGTGCATCACTCTAAACCCACTGTAGGCTGCGACTTATTGTGTCGTCACTCATTCACCGCCCTTCATTCTACGACTTAAATGGTTAAAAGATGGGCGTTTACTCCCATTGTGGCTTGGCCCATGATGGAACGTCCCATTCACGATGTGATCGGAAAATTACAGCTTAGCTTTTGCGATAAGATGGATGCACACTAATCTCGCGGCTAGCTCTTCAATATATTCAGCCGTTCCTGATATCAAAAAAAAAAACCATAGTATGCAAAAACGGTTAAAAAATATGCATTTTAAATGGAGAGATTTATAAGAAAAAATATCGAAACAGTCTGAGTAGATTTACGAATGAAATTTTTATTGCAGCATAAGACGAGGATATGAAGTATATAAACAGGTGTGCGCAGCATGCCACTCGATGCGTTTCATCGCCTACCGTAATTTGGTAGGCGTATCGCACACAGAGTTGGAAGCGAAGGCTGAAGCCGAGGAGCAAATGGTAGAAGACGGACCAGACGACCAAGGCAACATGTTCAAACGTCCTGGAAAGCTATCGGACTATTTCCCTAGTCCTTATCCCAACGAGGAAGCCGCCCGTGCAGCCAACAATGGTGCTTACCCTCCGGATTTGAGTTACATCGTCTCTGCTAGACATGGAGGTAATCTTTTATTGCAATAAATGTGTTTATAATGCATTGAGGTTGCTTTATGAATATGTTTTTATTGTTATGTCCGAAAACTTTAAATTAAATTTAATTTCCAGTGCTCTTAAAATTTATTAACCAATATTTAATTAAATTTGCACTTGGGATATCTTTCATTCTTGCTATGTTATAATGATTTATGTACAAACGAAGCACAAGAACATAAGACGCATTGTTTTTATAAAACGCATGAATACAAAAACTCAATGTAACCGCCATAAATCGCTCCATTGCAACTAAAACTTAACACTGTTGACCACCGTTTGTAAACTGTCTTTTTTCTCAGGAATGTGCCTATTGCGCCAGCGGACGTATTGATGAACGAAAATATTTCTGAGACACCCTTTATTAAACAAATAATGAGCGCCACCAAGTTTTTTTTTAAACTTGAAACACAACTGTTTTAGAACGTCTCTAGTACGTCAAAATTGATACAGATATTGAATGAAAACTAAAAAGTTGAAATGAAACCCCTGGATTTTCGGCAGTCCCTCATCGTTTTGATTTGAAGAAAGAACTAACCTAACTATCATAATTTTTAGTTCTTTCTTCAACCTCATATTTCAATAGCTCCACTTCCCATTTTCTTATTTTTCTGTCCACTTGCTTTGGTTATCTCAAAAATGAATTTCTCTTGCACTTATGTTTATTTAATTATCATGATGTCTCTATTTTGTACCTAACTATTAAAAAAGTTTCTTTTATTTTTTATTTACAGGAGAAGATTATATTTTCGCTCTTCTAACTGGGTACTGCGACGCCCCTGCTGGTGTCGTTCTTCGAGAAGGTCAATACTACAACCCGTACTTCCCCGGCGGCGCCATTTCCATGGCGCAAGCGCTGTACAATGAGGTCATTGAGTATCAAGATGGCACCCCACCCACTGCCAGCCAAATAGCCAAGGACGTGTCCACGTTCTTGAAATGGACCGCCGAGCCCGAGCACGACGACAGGAAGAAAATGCTGATCAAAGCTATCGGCATCTTCACCTTCCTTATCGCCACGTGTTACTATATCAAAAAATTGAAGTTCTCTTCGCTGAAGACGCGCAAGATCGAATTCAGGCCCAAAGAATAACAATTTCATTAGCTGGATATAGAACAGAACAGTTTTAGCGTGACCTCTACTTTATACCATAGATAATTACGTCGGGTATTATAAGTTAAAAATATTGTACATATTTATATTTTTTTTTTGTTCACCATCTATTTAAATTAAACAAAGGATTGGCGTTTGCCGATCTGGGTATTTATTCGTTTCGGCTTTTATTATTTGAAAGTGTCACGTTGTTTCAATAAAAAGTAAAATATAAAACTTTTTTTTTGTTTCGGTACAAAATATACATTTTTGATCGAATTAAGATATTTCGATACCTGCCTATCATGCGATTTTATGAAGGCCTACAGGTAAAAATAATTTGTATTAGGCATTCCAACGATCTGCCAAAATAGCTCCGGGAGGTCTTTGACAGGCTCAATGATATATAGAATTATATAAATTGCTTCAAACCAGGTCACATTGCGTGCAGCCATATTGCGTCGTAATTGCTCATTAACCAGAATGATTTAGTAAAAATGTTTTTTAAAACCAAATTAAAACTTTTAAATATAGTAAAAAAATAATTAGCTACATTTTTACTTCAAGGCATGAGCTTATGTTAGGCAAGGCGGTTCCAGGCATAGAAATAGTATAGAAAGCCGATTCCATATATCAAAAATGAAACCATAAGGAGAAAATAGTGTGTCGGAGCTCATGCGTATAACAGTGCTGGCGCGAACAGGACCGGTGCAAGTTTTTTATTGATCGAACAAATAGTTCGCACGATATTTCCATCATACATTTTTAGAGATGATTCTGTACAAAAAACGATTAAAAAAATTTCAAGTTAAGGTAAATATGGTTCTGACAGTCCTTATTAAGAAAGATATGGCATAAAATATGAATTAGTTAATTTTCGGCAATCATTAGTACAGTAGTCATGAGATTTTGCTTGTGATTTTAAAAATACTTTCCAGAAAAACCACGTGCTCCGGTTTTGACTACGTTTATTATTAAACAGCGAAATTATATACAAAAACTTTAATCCGCAATCTAAATTAGGTACTATCACAAGAAAATCACTGTTACAATAATTAATTACTTAACCAAAAACTAAAATACTTTTTAGGTACCTACGTAACCAGAAAGGAGCTAGACCATTTATCCTAATATTGATTTTCTCTCTCCCTACGGTAAAACTTAAAACAATAACAAATTGCCTATCTACTAGGGTCGGTAACTAAACGTATATACATAATGGGTGGATTTTGTTTATACTTAACATTACACTCGCGCATTTAAATATAACTATGCATATAAATATTTACAAACAAAGATACTTTTCCAAACAGGCAATCATTAGTACTGTAGTCACGAGATTTTGCTTGTGATTTGACATCTTATTTGATAATATCATTTGCTACAACTAAATTTAATCTGGGGAGTGCAAAATAGGGCCCAGGAATATTACGTTCGATATTTTTTTACATTTTGTCAGCCGAGATTATGAGTCGTTAGACAGAAAACCTTTCATGTTACCATTTTTAATATAAATTAAAAAATTAAAAAATACTACTACATTTACTTGGTACATATTTTATTTTAATTTTGAACCCTTTTAAAAGGGTCTTTCGGTTCCATAATAAAAATTAGTTGCTGCTTATTAGAAACATTCTATATAGCCTAAACCAATTTATAGTTTGTTTTCGATCAATTTAATACAAAGATTTAAAGTTTTTAGTCGATGATAACATTCCACACCAGCACATTGCAAACCTATTTTATAAATAATAGGAATAAACTTGTAAATCATTAATTTGGTAGTTATCTCACTCATATGATTTTTTTGTTTATATGAATATTTCGATTTCTAAATATATTTTGGCCTTACAATACGAAGCGTTTTGTATCTACCACTTTTTTAATGAACGATGAATGTGTGTGAAGATAGTCTAATAAGCTTACTTCCTACTAGCAGTGGTTAACTACTGTGAGGGGAACGAATGTCATGAGATAAAAATAGTTGTCAATATACGTTTGATTAATAAGGATTGCAATATTTATTTTACAACTTATTTCATGGCGCAGTCAGTGGTTATTTAGTTGAATTGCCTTATATTTAAAACGTAAAGGAAAGCAACATGCCAAAAAGAAATCTACGGTCCAAAACTTTTGTAGAAGAAGTGGAGCAATCTGCTAGTTGTAGACTGACTTCTTTAGAATCTGCAGTATCTTGTACACAAAATAGTATTACTTTATTAGAAAAGAAAACTAATGATGCTTTAGTACGGATAGAATCAAATTTTGGACGACAATGCTCTTCTATTCAGACTATGTTAGAAAGTTTAGTGATGAGAGACAATAATACACAAAGTAATTCAACAGAACCTCCTGAAATATCCACTAACATTTCCAACGCTAGTCAAGAAAATTCCATCATAAGTAAGGCCACTAGTTCCAGATCTGAAATCCACCTTTCAAGTGCAGTTCCGAATCCTGAAAAAATTGTAGAATCTTTAACATTTTCTCAGTTTAAAGATTGGAGGCGAAAATATGAAAATTACGTGATATTACAGAATTTGGAATGTATTCCCGAAAAACAACTAGTGGCGCTACTTGAATCCTTTTTCAGTCAGGATATTTCCGATGTTGTTAGATTGGTACTTAAAATTGAAAATAAAGATAATCTAACAGCAGTGGATTTACTCAATAAACTTGAGGAGTATTTTAAAAAAAAAGAAAACAATCGTTTAAGAAGAAGCCAATTTATGTCCAGAAAACAGGAACAAGGGGAGCCTTTCTCATCGTTTTATAGGGAAAACGTTAAACTTTTTCAGTTAACAGATCCATGTTCCCACTGTTACAACAGATGTTTAGCAGATCACCTTATAGAATCCGTATTTGTTGGTTCTATTCGAAAAAAATGTAGAAAGTTATCAGATACTGCAGGCGTAGAAGAGGTGGTTAAATTATGTGAAACTGAAGAAGCTGCATTAATTGAAGAAAACACGTCTATAAGTAATGTTTCAAATATTCAAATTAAAAATCAGGCGAATAAATATAACAAAAAGAAATGTCCTAGATGTAATAATCCGTGGCACAAAAATTTGCGTGAATGTCCTGCAAAAACATCAATTTGCGAGAAATGCAAAAGAAAAGGCCATTTTACCAGTTGCTGTTTATCAAAAGATATTCAAACAGTAGAATACACGTCTGAAGATCCGGAAATTCTTAAGATTGGGTGCCTTCGAATTAATTCATTGTCATATAATGACGATCGTCAAAAAAAGCAAATACGAATCAAAGTTACATCTCTTTCCAGTGACGTGAATTTTGAATACAAGGCAACACCGGATACAGGGGCAGAAGTTTGTGTTGCGGGTGAAGAGTTTTTGAAAAAATTAAAATACACTACAAAAAATCTAAGACGTTCTAATATAAGTCTGGAATCTGCGGACAAATCCAAATTAAACATTCTTGGATATCTGATTTGTAATATAAAGTACTATAATAAAAGCGTTCAAGTTTTGATATACATCTGTTCCGGAGTAAGAGAGCTTCTAATAGACCGCAAAACTCTTATAAACTTAGATATTATTCATCCAGATTTTCCAGCACCACTTCCACTTCTAAATGCAGAAATAAATAATTGTAAAATTGCAATGTTACAAAATCCTTCTGATGAAGAATGTAATGATATAAAAACATTCCTCTTAAACGAATATGCTGATGTGTTCAACTCAGATAACACCCTAAAGCCAATGGAAGGCAATCCTATGCACATATATTTGAAAGAAAATGTGTTTCCATATGCCATAACCTGCCCAAGGAGAATACCGTTTGCTTGGAGAGATCAAGTAAAAAACGAGTTAGACTCGCTAGTGGAAAAGGGAATAATTAAACCTGCTCAAGACATTACGTCCGATTTTGTTAGTCCCATTGTAATTATTCAAAAAAAAAATGGTAAAATCAGAGTTTGTGTGGATTTTACAAAGTTAAATTGTTTTATTAAAAGACCTATTCATCCATTTAAATACCCTTGGGAAGCCGTTTCCAATATAAACCGGTACTCAAAATATTTTTCTACAATGGACATGACAAATGGATATTGGCAAATAAAGTTGGATGAAGAGAGTCAAAAACTTACTACATTTCTAACTCCTTGGGGTCGATACATGTTTCTAAGAGCACCTATGGGGTTAATAAGCTCAGGAGATGAGTTTTGTAGAAAAGGCGACGAAGCATTGATAGATATAAATAATATAGAAAAGGTGGTCGATGATATATTAATTCACGATGAAACATTTCCAGAACATTATAAAAAGATCGTACAGATTCTCGAAAGATGTAGAAGTAAAGGTATGACCCTTAACCCAAACAAATTTGTATTTGCCAAGCCTGAGGTAGAGTATGTGGGGTACATAGTTGGAAAAAATGGAATTAAGGCAGATGAAAAGAAAATAGAAGCTATTCAAAAGTTCCCAATTCCCACCTGTTTAACAGAATTGCGCTCGTTCATGGGCATGGTAAATCAATTAGGAGGGTTTTCTTCAGAAATCAGTACTACCGCTGCACCTTTAAGAGACTTATTGAAAACTAAAAATCAGTTCTTATGGTCTGCGAGGCACGATGAAGCATTCAACAATGTTCGAAAGGCGTTAGTCAAGCCACCTATATTAGCACATTTTGATCCATCCCTTGAGACAGCTCTACATACCGACGCCTCACGTCTGAATGGCCTCGGGTATGCTCTTCTTCAAAAACATGGGGACATATGGAGACTTGTACAGTGTGGTTCTCGTTTTCTTTCTGACACAGAAACCAGATATGCAATGGTAGAAATTGAACTACTGGCTATAGTATGGTCAATAAAAAAGTGTAAATTGTACCTACTTGGTTTAAATGATTTTAAAATTGTGACAGACCATAAACCGTTGTTGCCAATTCTGAATTCCTATACTCTAGATATGATAGAGAATCCAAGACTACAAAGATTGAAAGAAAAATTATCTGGATACAACTTCGTGGCTGAATGGACTAAAGGGTCTCAACATAGTATACCAGATGCCCTATCAAGATCACCAATAAATGTTCCCCTTGAGGAAGAACTATTCGGTGAAGATACTAATGCTCAAGTTAACTCATTCATCATCCAGCAAATTGCTTTAGTAGATAATACTGATGAGCTAACAAGGGAATCACATATTCTGGACCCTCTACTAGAAGTTTTACAAAAATCGGCTAAAGAGGACAAAGTCTACCAAAAATTAACAGAA